AAAATATTACACATTGTGCCTTTAAATGGTTGTTCTGTTATTCTTTCACTGAATTAGGGTTGATGTGTAGATATCTATTTAACTATAAACTAAATGATTGTACATGGTGTTTATGTTCCTCTGCAGATACTGGCCCAAAACCAATGTACATAAATTATTTGCAGGTTGTCTGTCCCAACATCTGTTTGTCTATTGCATTTCTTCTGTGGGGAGTTATTGAAGGTAAGTATCCTTCTTACCTTTGTTTCTTTGTTTGTTTTGAATACTCGCCCTCTAGTGGCAAAATATTACACATTGTGCCTTTAAATGGTTGTTCTGTTATTCTTTCACTGAATTAGGGTTGATGTGTAGATATCTATTTAACTATAAACTAAATGATTGTAAATGGTGTTTATGTTCCTCTGCAGATACTGGCCCAAAACCAATGTACATAAATTATTTGCAGGTTGTCTGTCCCAACATCTGTTTGTCTATTGCATTTCTTCTGTGGGGAGTTATTGAAGGTAAGTATCCTTCTGCATGTATTGTTAGGTTATATTTACCCATTTTTCTCTCTCTGTTGATGACTTTGTTTTGTTGTTTTTTTACTGCTTTGTTCAGGGTCTGTAGTTGAGGTAACGATGTGTGTGACAATTAATCTGAGTCGGATCATTTTGTTATTTCTTATGGCCCCATATTTCAATTGGAATACTACTGTTTCTGGTATGTATATCTCAATGAAAGACATTTGTAGGAATGTACATTGTATTGTATATGCCATAATACATTTCATATCTCATTGTACTGTACTGTAATTATATATTATCAAGCGCTTTAGGACATTGTGATATACCTATAAATATAGAATCTTTGAAACATTGCTTGCAAAAGAAATATACATTTACAATTCACGTTGGAAAAGTTTTAGCACGAATGATTACGGACTTTGATTTCTAATCATTGTCTGGTTCCTTTTTGTTTCAGTTAATTTTCCAGGTTTCATCCACAGAATGATTGAATTTGTAGCGATTCCCATTGCATATCTTCTGATTTCCACAGCATTTTGCTCAGGTAAGGAAGCTTGGCCTTAGAGTCTTACAGTAGTTTGTATATTTAATATATTATTCTTGTAATAATACTTCTGCACTGTCCCCTTAAATCATATCCATCTGGGCCTGAGCTATGAATATATGTACTTATTACTTTGAATAACTGTATAATCTGTTGTGTTTTGTAGCTGTTCTTTATGATCTCTGGAATACATCTCAGTGGACTGAAGTTGTTCTTGTCAGTGTTGGGATTATTCTGCTGTCATCCATGCCTGCAATTTTTCGAGCCTTAAACAACGTTTGCTTCACACAATTTTTTGATATACATTTGTCAGTGCAATTTATTATAGGTATATCAAATTGTCTTTTACTGCAATTTTATGCTTTATTTATTGCTTTGGGCAAGTAATTCAGATGTTGCACACTCAGTCCCTTGTGTGACCTGTATATACGACAATTGCCAGAAACGTTGAGATCATCTCATGCAGGGTTTGAACCTACAACCTTTCAGATCTTTAACCACTAGGCTGCATGTTCTGATGTGTAATGGTCATATGTGTTTACATCAGCATTGCTCTGTGATTGTTGTCATGCAGAGAAGTTAGGACACGTTCTCATGCAGTCAAGCAACTTTCTTCAAATGCGTCTTCTCTTCTATAGATCATCAAGTGTTGATGAATGTAAGTAGGAATTGTATTTATTAGTTATCCAGGATCTGTCACTTGTGACATATTTATTTACTCATAGTCATTCAAATGTGTGCCTGTTTACTTTTTCAGCCATGATTAAAATTACATATGCCTTTGGGGGAATTTCTGCAGCCATATCATTAATAGTTCTTCCAATTCCAGCAATTCGCCAGTACTTTTGTTCAAAACTGGGCAAATATCAACTTTATGCGCTTATATGGAGATGTTGTAAGTATATTGAGTTTCATTGTACATTGGAAATTATTGTTATGTGCTGGTGAAGCCATTTAAATTGAATACTTAAAAGATTTTTTTCCAGAGAAAAAATGCTTTTAGGGCAAAAAGAGAATTAGCTTACAGACCAATTCACAAATACTCCAAACGTAAAGTTGATCGGGAAACTTTGTTTACTGTGTTTGTTTGTTTTTCATTATATATATATGTGTTAATGATGATCTGTCTTTTTCTCTCTCTCTGTCCCAGATTTAGTTTGGGTAAACGTTATGGTTTTGACTCTCATCGGGCATAGTGCATTTATTTTATTTTATCTCAACAAGATTCTGGAGTATACTAACGGTAAGCTGGTATCAAATGTGAGCAAACTCCGTTTCACTATACAATCTCAAAGCATAAATTGCTTGGATTGTTACCTTAGTGGTTTCTCTTTTTTTTGTGGTTTGTGTGCTATGCGATATATACCATAGTTTTTATGGTATAGCATAAGTTTCCAGCAATAGTAACCCGACTATAATAATGTGTCATTCATCACAGAGCGCTTTGGATGGATCTTTGTCACAGTTATGCTCCATGTCTTGACTGCAATTTCACCCACACGATTCCCCAGAAAAGTTCCCGGTAATAAAATACACCGAAAGTCAGAAAATCAGGAAAGAAAGTCAAGGAAACATTCAGATTTTTTTGTTTACTTTGTGCCAACAGTATTTATGATCATTTTAATTTAATCATTAGGGTTTAAATGTGCGTCCTTATGCTACAGTTATCCTACCATATCTTAAAAACCCATTCTTTTTGATTTTTTTCCAGAGAAAAAATGCTTTTAGGGCAAAAAGAGAATTAGCTTACAGACCAATTCACAAATACTCCAAACGTAAAGTTGATCGGGAAACTTTGTTTACTGTGTTTGTTTGTTTTTCATTATATATATGTGTTAATGATGATCTGTCTTTTTCTCTCTCTCTGTCCCAGATTTAGTTTGGGTAAACGTTATGGTTTTGACTCTCATCGGGCATAGTGCATTTATTTTATTTTATCTCAACAAGATTCTGGAGTATACTAACGGTAAGCTGGTATCAAATGTGAGCAAACTCTGTTTCACTATACAATCTCAAAGCATAAATTGCTTGGATTGTTACCTTAGTGGTTTCTCTTTTTTTTGTGGTTTGTGTGCTATGCGATATATACCATAGTTTTTATGGTATAGCATAAGTTTCCAGCAATAGTAACCCGACTATAATAATGTGTCATTCATCACAGAGCGCTTTGGATGGATCTTTGTCACAGTTATGCTCCATGTCTTGACTGCAATTTCACCCACACGATTCCCCAGAAAAGTTCCCGGTAATAAAATACACCGAAAGTCAGAAAATCAGGAAAGAAAGTCAAGGAAACATTCAGATTTTTTTGTTTACTTTGTGCCAACAGTATTTATGATCATTTTAATTTAATCATTAGGGTTTAAATGTGCGTCCTTATGCTACAGTTATCCTACCATATCTTAAAAACCCATTCTTTTTCTCTTTTGCAGATGTAATTTACACTACTTTGTTCATGTATGGAGTGGCAGGTCTACCAGTGGTCAACTCTGTTTCTCTTGCCACAGAATTAATATTGCAAGTATGTAAGTGTCAACACCTAAACAATTTTTATATTTCCACTATATATTTCAGAATATGGTTCCGTTGAAGAGGTCACTAAATTCTTCTCTTCCATCTTCTGTTTGCAAGACAAGGGGGAGAGAACAGTGGATGATTTGCGTGTAATAGTGCTGCCGTTTGAAAGCATTATGTCTGGTGTGTGGCTGGTTTTACAGATCCATGCATACTGTGAGTTCCATTGGTTTTGACACTCATTTATAAGAGCTGTTATTGATAACGATGCAGCTCACTGTTACTGTCTTTACTCATGAATTACAGGGGCAGTTGCCGGGAGAGAGTAAGTTTACTTTTTTGTAAAATATATTTTTTGAATTTTAACTAAAGGATTAGTAGTTAGCAGTATAATGACCCACTAATGTAAATTTACATTTACAGCTGAGGGTGTTTAGTATTATTTTGCATTGCTTAATTGCTTCAACAAGTCTTCATTGATTGTCTTTCAGCGTACAGAATGAGCTGTATGCGCTGAGGGACTTTGCGGCACAGTGCACACCACAGGTAACTTTGTTTTAGAAGCTGAATATTTGATGGTAAAAAATAGTCACAAGGTTTTGTTGTTTGGTTTACAACTTAGTTGTTGTTCAGCAAAATAAAGGAAATCAATTTAACATTTTATTGCATTGCTCTAATATGGGTTACCCTCATAAATGTTGGATCCGATGCCAGAATGTAGTTAAAAACTCCTCAGTGGGGAACTAATCGTATATTGCTCTCAACCTTTATTCTATAAATCCTGAAATAAGAGTGTTTTAACATTACAGCAAGGAGACATTGGTGAATCCGATTTTTCAGAGAATCACCTTTCTGAGATCCAAAGATGTCAGCCAGAGACAGTACCATTCCTGGGAGAGCAAGATCTAGAGGTTTAAATCTTTTAAATGATAACGTAACACCATGTATGATGAGCTAATGTTACCCTACCTATGCTAACTGTATTGAAAAATTATGCATTGTACAATTTGTTGTTTCAATAATTTTCATACATTGGCTATGGCTAATGAATTGTATGTAGTGAAAACACTGCTTAATCTTGTTTTCTCTGTTTCCACCTTCAAATTGTTAACTTTATTGTTATTGTTTATTCCCATAGTAATAAGCTGACTGCATAGATTTCTTTAAAATATGTTTCACACACAGATTCACATTTGAATTGCATTTAAAACATGTGTCTAGAAACATGAAAAGTGTCCCTATAATAAAGATGTATCAATCTGCCCTACCTCCTGATATGCTACTCCAGCTAAAAAAGAAACGCAAAACCAATCGGCAGCATCATGACACTGCTGAGCTGTTGATTGGCTGAGGATCTGTGTGTGTGTGTATGTGGAGAGAGAGTGTATGTGTGTCCTGTATAAAGCACACTGCTCTGCAGCATTTCTGAACTGGTGCAGTGCCGGTTCATCGCCACTAATGGTGTGCAGAACAAGGGGGACTTAAAGAGAAAAACTTCTCCAACCAAAAAAAACATTAACATCATTTGAAAACCAAACAGAAAAACTACTAAAAAAATCTTGCATCATGAGCTTTGTCCCATACATCTCCTCCTCCCTCTCCCGGCGATGGGAAGATTCCCCCTCCAGCAGAACTACCTACCGGCTCTCCCGGGGTCCCCTGACGTCCTCCAGGTGGCCGATGCATTTGGAGCCGCTGCAGCGCTGGGAGCAGAGTGACCTGAGCCAGGCGAGCATAGTGAACGCAGAGCTGCGGGCCCAAGAACGAGAGCAGCTGGTGGGTCTGAACAACCGCTTTGCATCTTACATCGAGAAGGTGCGACACCTTGAGCAACAAAATCGGGTGCTGCTCCTACAACTGGAGGCCCTGCGGCGCAGGCAGAGTCAGCCATCCCGTGTGCAGCAGCTCTACCTACAGGAGGTACGGGGCCTCAGGGAGCAGCTGCATCAAGAGGCCCAGAATAAAGCACGCATGGAGGCACAGAAGGAGAAATTGCGGGAGGCACACACACAGCTGCACGAGCGCTGGGAGGAAGAGGCGAGGCGGCGTAGCCAGGCAGAGGCAGAGGTGCAGAGGTTGCAGGAGGAGGCAGGTCAGGCCGCTCTGTGCAGCTGTGATGCCAAGGCCAGCGTAGTCTCCCTGGCGCAGGAGTTGGCCTTCTTGAAGCAAGTGTTTGCAGAGGAGCAGGAGGGGCTGAGGGTCCAGCTACAGGTTGCCAGCCTCAGTGTGGAGCTGGACACAAGTAGACCAGACCTGTCAGCCGCTCTGAGAGAGATCCGAGCGCAGTATGAGAGCCTGGCTGGACGCAACATGCAGACCGCCGAAGCCTGGTTCCGGGGGAAGGTGGCAAGCGTAGTGGAGCTGTCAGATAAGCAGGAGGAGGCTGTGCGCTTGGTACGTGAGGAGACCACTGAGTATCGACGGCTGCTGCAGTCCCGTTCAGCTGAGGTTGAGGCACTGAGGAATGTTATCGATTCACTGAATGCACAACTAGGGGACCTAGAGGAAACGCAGAACACTGATGTCAACAAATACCAGGTATAGATCACCAGCAGCAATCAATCCAAGTATAATTGCATACGTATAATACGACCACACAAATGTCTCTGTAAAGACACTCTTAGAAGTTAGGTCATTATGCTATTGATTGCAGAAACATTCTGTATAAAAGAGAAGATTAATGAAATGGAACATAACCAGAACAATCTTTATTTGTGTTGATGGGCATAATACACTCAGATAAAATGTCCAAAAATCGTACCTTTATGGGTACAACAGCTTGTCACTGGGGCAGTACTTATAAAAGCACAATTTTGTACCTTATCTACCCCTAAAAGGTGCATATTTACCTTAAGAGTAGTAATATGTAAGGCGATAAGCTACCCCTAAAGGTAAATTTGCAAATTTTTCTCATGAAATAACAAAAGGGAAGCACAAAGGCTTAGGAACAGACTGTAAATTTGTTTTTCATGCCAAGTCAGTGCGCTGACCTTTACTGTTCTACAGTCTCAGCATTGATGGAATATTATTTCTGCTGTGCTTTTAGCATTGTAAGGTCCAAGACAAGTGATACCAAAGTTGCAGAAATGTTACTGATGCTGACTCATTCCATCAGTGCTGAGTCATGACTGACAAACTGAGTAGGAGAGATGAGACTGACTCTAGAGGGAAAGATATCCCTTTATAATAAAGTTCTGCTCTACTTCTCTATCTCTGGCACAAAACAGTATGTAGGAACGCTTCTGTCAGATAAGCATATCAGCATTAATTTACGCTTTGAATTTTTCTTTGAACAACTTCTAGGAGAGGATAAGTGACCTAGAGAGGGACATTGCCGATGCGAAAGAGGAAATGTCACGCTATTTGCGGGAGTATCAAGATCTGCTTAACGTGAAGATGGCTTTGGATGTTGAGATTGCAGCTTACAGGTAATATGCTTGACAGTATGACATTTGGAGTATCTTCAATCAGTTTGACTTAAAACAATTGTTTTGCATTAAACTTCATTTTTGTCTTTACAGGAAACTCCTGGAGGGAGAAGAAATTCGATTGACATATTCCACCCTACCAGCCCTTGCCTAAACCTTTAAAACACAAAATCCTAGTAACTCACTTTCATCATATTCATATTTTGAATACTGTTGAGTCAGACCCACATTAAGATCCTAAAATACTAACCAACACATCACCTTCCCAAACATTGAGAGGCACATAAATCTACTTTTTTCTCCAAAAACCCTACTAACCTAGACCCACCATTTAAGACTCTCTTTGCCAAATCCACATCCATAACCTTCACATTTACTTCCAATCCTAGTTATTTAGTTAATTCCACCCCAATTCCACCATCTAACCATGAAACTAAACCGCAGCACATCATCGCTTTAAAGTCAGACGAGCCCTTGTGTCACACAAGAGGTACACATAATGAGGTCCCCCTTCTTCTTTACACTTGAAAATGGACAAATGACCACCTTGGAGACATTGCTAAGGGCAGCACTCACTCAGCCAGAGCTCAGTGTCATGTTGGCAGATTCTCATGAAGGACCTTAGATGGTTCAACTTAAAGAACTCTATACACTATATTGTTCTGCAAATAATAGTTTTCACTAAATTGTAATTTTTTTCTGTTTCATTCCCAGCACCCATTGGGAATCTGATTAACCAGTGATCCCCTATAAGCAAACTTTTAACCAATTGTTTGTTGAGGTGAATTGTAGTTCGGTCTCAACTTTCTTTGGGTGCAAGGAATGGAATAAAGCCAATTTGTTAATTCGACATTAGACCAAGAATCAGCCAACAGGACACTGTCCACCATCCCTGGCTCTTTAGATTATATGTAGTTAGTGCAACAGTTAAGTTTTAGCTATGTTAATTATGTTAGAATGTGTTAATTTTAGTAAATGTTGTAGTAATATTTTATTTGCTATGTATCTGTGTTCAGCTTCTCTTATGTTTGTTCGGTTGAGTATAATTATGAGGATATGATTATTATTTTGCTTTAGCATTTACAGTGTTTGACTTGATAAAAGCATGACAAGAGTAGGACAAATTCAAGAGTAGGAATAAAAGCTTTAGAGCTGGAGTTTTTAGACTCATGGTTAAAATACAACTATCATGCTTTCATCTGCTTTTGTTGTGTCATCTAAGTTACAGTGCAAGTCAGTTATCAGTAATTTGGAAATGAACAAGTAACCGAGTCTGTTTATCATGACGGTCTCTGAACTGAATGGTGCTGTATGTTTGCACCTAAATACATACTGAATAAAGCAACAGTACCTCTTCTGGAGCACGTCTATGGTGTGTGTTTGACTGTGAGCCTGTGTGCAAGACATGCAGTGAGGTTCAGATATCCAAAACTTGCTCATTAAAATCTTTTTGGGACATTTTCACATTAAGCTGGAATAAATGGATAAACAGGTGTTTGATGAATGATTCAAACCTGCCTCATTTAGTTCAAGAAGATGCAGCATGAACAGTGTAGCCCGATTCCTGAACAGCTGACTCTTTTGAATTGGTTCTTTTAAGTGAACAAAACCATCATGAATCAGTCAGACAGATTAATGATTCAATCTGACTCACTTACTGAACATAAGTTTTGTCTTGTCCGATTTTTGAAAAAAAAAAAAAATTATAATATATATATATGTATATATATAATAAAATAAATAATATAATAACAAATTGTTGTCCCTGTGAGACTTAAGTCTTAATTATAAATTAGGGAAGCCCATTTCAGCCACATAAGAAAAAGTCATTATTTGGTAAATCTTAAAAAAAAGTGTAAATTGTGACATACAAGCATAGACTGTATAAAAACATGGACGTGGTGTCCGTGACGTCACCCGTAGGTTTCTGAAGAGCGTTTTTGAAGCTCAAAGTGGGCGGAGCCAGCCGTCGCCATCTTGGCAGCGCGTCACCGCGCGTCACTCCCGGATAATCGAAAATGGGCAAAAAGGCGGGAGCTGGTTGCTGAAACCACGCCCACCTAACTCTACGGTGGTGACAGCAGTGGCAATCCACCTGTCACTCAATTGGCCACGCCCTTAATTATGCAGAACTTTAAGGCTTAATATAATTTAAACGGATGACTTATAAAAAAAATTCACCCCCTCACAGTTGTCATGAAGGGCAAAATTAGCTATAAAGACCAAAATAATTTTTTGAACCAGGCTGTAAACATGTTTTTTTCTGCTGTAAAGATGGGGAGTCTATGGGCTTGACTCCCTTTTGCAGCCAGCCTCTAGCGGCCAGTCGATGAATTACAGTTTAAGTCACTTCCGTGTTGGCTTCACGAGAGAGAG